CAGTGGTTGAGAGTCCGCCTGCCGATGCAGGGGATATGGGTTCGTGCCCCGGTCCGGGAGGATCCCACATGCCGCGGAGCGGCTGGGCCCGTGAGCCATGGCCGCTGAGCTTGCGCGTCCGGCAACGGGAAAGGCCACGACAGTGAGAGGCCCACATATCGCAAAAAAAAAAAAAGAAAAAAAAGCAAGTTCTGGGGTTGGGCAGATCTGGGTTCCGACTGTCGTTTACAAACTGTCTTCGAGCAAATTGTGTGTTTTTTTTCCTAAGACTCAGCTTCTACCTTTATGAAACGGGGGTAACAGTGGTGCTGATGCCAGAGGTTTTGTTGAGGCAAAGCTCTTTTCTCAGTTCCTAGCATGCGTAAGTGCTCAATGCACTGAGTTAATATTATAGTTATTGACCCTGGAGATACTCCCCAAAGCTAAAGGCCAGAGGCCTGACAGGTGTGTGAGCCCGAGGTGGCAGGTAGCCGGTGGAATGGAACGGCTGCTGCAGAGCGGGGCTGTTTTTCTCCTGCTTTAGACTTTTCTGTATTTTCTAGATTTTCTTAAAGAACCATGTAGATGGTTTTGTACCCTGAAAACTTCCAACAAAACCTTTAAAGACCTTATCCATGCAAACATTTACTCTAAAAAGCTGGAGAATGGAACTGAAGGCCTATTTTGGAGAACTTCCTGTATTCCCATTTCTGGAATCTTCTGAAATGGAACCCAGTGGGGGAGGGGTGTGATCTGTACTAATTCTCTGAGCTCTTGGGTCTAATCACTGAGCATCCCTGCATCCCAGCTTCCTCCTGAGATCATGGGTACCTCTCAGTTCATAAATTCAACAATTCCTTACTTAAGTAAATAAACACACAAAATACATCAGTGGCCAATAGTGGCCACAGTGACCGCTCCTTGGCTCACAAAGGGGACGTCAGAGGGGTAGGTTGAAATGAGAAGCAGGTCTGTGAAGCAGAAGGATCCCTTTAGCATCTTATGTACAACTGACTCTGAGTTTTTTTCCAATGTGATCGATTTGGAACATGAGAATGATAACCAAGGAACTTACCGATAAGTTCCGGCATCTTGTTTGACATGATTTGGTAAAAAATATGATAGCTTCTCTCACGGGATAACTGCAATGTCACCCTGGATTTTTCTAAGAGATCTGAGGTAACAAAAAACGACGTGATTTTAGGGTCCCCAGGAGATGCCTCTGTGGCCAAGCCCAAGGTGCCAGATAGAGTGTTTGGGCTCACAGGTTTCAATGTCCGCTGACTCCAGCTTTCCTGTGGCCCCAAAGTGAATGCGAATGAACTTCCCCCGTCCAAAGACAGATTGAAAAACACAGTTATTTTCTTTATATGGTACTGTAGCGAGCTTCTGTTAGGTACTACTGAGGATGGGTGGGATGCGTAGGGTCACGGAGGAGGTGATGCCAGAAGCATGAGGACTTGCCTCCTCTCTGTTTGCTTGGCATCTGGTCCCCACGCCGGCTCAGCTAAGACTCAGGTAGTTCTGCCCAAAGCACCTGGCCCTGTTCCTACAGCTCTGAGGATGCCTGCAGGCTCCCTCTCAAGTCTCTGTTTGGGACTACCTCGCACCTGACTGTCTCCTTTATCCCGCTCAAACTCTTTATAACACCTTTGAACTGATAACCTGCTTGGACTATCTGACTTTTTTTTTTTTGCCTCTGGATGTTACTTTTGAGATTTCTTGCCTCAGTTTTCCTTACTACTTACTACATGCAAACCTAGCTCCCAGGCCAGGCCTCCTGGCTCCCAAAGGACCCACTCAGCCCTTGGGTTCCCCCAATCTTGGGGAGTGAGAGGTGAAATTCTATATAGTATATATGTGTGTGTGCATACTCCCTTCTTACATCACCCGCTTAATTGGTCGCTACCACCCTGTGACCCAATTTGAGGGCAAAAATATTGCCTTGCTCGTTCACCCACAGACCCTGGAATGTAGTACGTACTCAGTAGTATTCTCAGTATTTTCTGAATGAAGCCTAAGAAGAATTAATGAAGGACCAGTGGAGGTTTATGTGAATTATGTGTTCGCTCTGCAGCTCTAGCTGCTGAATGGAAATGCCTCTGGGTACCTGCTCTACTGGCCAGTGAAATTAGATAGGAGACTGGATACTTGTTTATTTACCAGTGTCGGAAGTAAATGCCTCTTTGGTTGAGCTAAACCTAAGTGAAACGTTGAAGGATGGGACATATCCTTCGATAGCTCTAGTATCAACTTTTTCCCAATTTTTGAGCTCTGCTGCCTCCACCAGGTTTTCCCTCCTCCCAGCACCTCCTGACCTGGAGAAGTTCAGATCTGCTAACTAACTGCACACTATGGTTTTCATGGCTAATAAGTCAGTGGATACTGTTCAACGGACTTATGTATTTTATTTTATTTTATTTAATTTATTTATTTTTTTTTCTTGCGTTATGCGGGCCTCTCACTGTTGTGGCCTCTCCCATTTGCGGAGCACAGGCTCCGGACGCGCAGGCTCAGTGGCCATGGCTCACGGGCCCAGCCGCTCCGCGGCATGTGGGATCTTCCCGAAACGGGGCACGAACCCGCGTCTCCTGCATCGGCAGGCGGACTCTCAAGCACTGCGCCTCCAGGGAAGCCCGACTTATGTATTTTAAAATGCTTCCACCTGAAGAGACCAATTTTAGCACGGAGATGTCATTTTGCACTTGCAGCATTTGAATCTGGAATCATTGTAACCTCAGGATGCTCTGAGTTAGGGAAGGACAGCTAAATGCTGATTAGTTAGGGAAGGACAGCTAAATCTTCCTTCGGCTGGGAATAAGACAAAATGTTCTTTGAAGGGTTATCAGAATATCCCGGTATAGTCTACTTGGGGGTAGACTAAGGCCAGGTATATCCTAGTTTACGTGCCCATTTTTCATATGCAGCATTGGAGGAGACGGTTTTCTTTCTGGGGGTCATTGACAATTGGACTGAGTCTTACGAATCCTGAGGAGTTGTCATTCCTCACGGTCTTGGCATTTCTAAAGGCCTCCAGGAGGGGTTTGGCCTGGATGCTCTGGTCTTCCAGGGTTCTCTAATAATAAGTGAGAAGAGGAAAAGAGAGGACTTTGGACGTCTTCTGAAGTAACTTCCCAGTGACTCAAAAGTGTGGATGCTCTGGGAAGGGCCCAGGGAGAGATGTCGCCCGGCTCAGGCTGGTGGCAGGTACAGTTGTGCTGAGTACCCACAGGCCCATCCCCACCCCACCCGAGGAGGCTTCAAGGGTCCCATCGTAGAAGGGGTCTTAGCACAGCATCAAAGTGGCTTCTGGCCACACCAGATTCCAGGTTGGAGCACTACCCTCTACACCTCAATCTCCCAGACGGCCTTTCTTCTCTGATAACATTTTATTATAAATCACGGATTTGTAAAATATAGACCTCTGTTCCTGCATGCACCAGGACCCATTTACATAGATATTCGGGTTCAGAAGTAGAAATAGACTGTGAGCAATGAAAGTGACCCATATGATAGGAACAGTGGTTCTCAAAAATTTTTTTAAGTTGCATAAAATATTTTGTGAGAATTATTACGTAGAAATCCACTTATAGAAAGCAGAGTTTTCACCTTCCCCCCGTTCCCCACATGAGTGCTTGCCTTTCTGACTTTAAAGCTGTTTGGAAATGACTGTCCAGCCCAGTGGTTCTCAAAGTGTGATCCCTGGACCGGCAGCATGAACAATGGGAACACGACAGAAATGCAACATGCCAGGATTTTGAACGTGAGATAGGAATTTCAGTCAGAAATTCTGGGCCTGGGGACCAGCAATCGGTTGTTAACGAGCCCTCCTGGTGATTCTGATGTGCACTCCAGTTTGAGAACCAGTGGCCTAAACCATTCCTTCTCCAAAGGAGGATGTGGAGTTGTTCAAGGTCACTCTGCTGTTGTTGATGGAGCTGTTGCTAGAGCCTGAGTCCACAAGGTGGAGCCATTTCCTGCCTTGCCCCGTAAACACCCCCTGGGGCAGGAGCTCGTGCTGTGCATCTCTGCTGGGCACAAAGCCCTGCAAACACTTGGTGCTCACCTGGGAGTTAAGGTATACTTATTCCAGCAAGCCCTCCAGGTGCAGGAAGCTGCTCCCCTGCATCTTGCCCGGCCGCTGCTCCTTCCTCTTGTCCCCAGTGACCGCAATTGTTGCAAAGTACTGGACAACACGCTTGGTGTTCACTGTCTTCCCAGCCCCGGATTCTCCACTGTTGATTTAAAAGTAAGTGAGAGGGACTTCCCTGGTGGTCCAGCAGTAAAGAATCCGCCTTGCAATGCAAGGGACACGGGTTCGATCCCTGGTCAGGGAACTAAGATCCCACATGCCGCGGGGCAACCAAGCCCGCACGCCATAACTACTGAGCTTGCGTGCCTCAATTAGAGCCCACGTGCCACAGCTACAGAGCCCACGCGCTCTGGAGCCTGCATGCCGCAACTGGAGAAGAGGAAACCTGCACGCCACGACTAGAGAGAAGCCTGTGCGCCACAATGAAGAGCCCGCATGCCCCAACAAAAGATCCCAAGTGGTGCAACTAAGACCTGACGCACCCAAAAATAAATAAAATAAAATAAAATAAAATAAAGTGAGATACACAGACATAGAGAACAGACTTGTAATTGCCAAGGGGACCAAGGAAAGGGGGAATGGAGGACAAATGGATTGAGAGTTTGGGATTAGTAGATGCAAACTATTATATATAGAATGCATAACCACCAAGGTCCTACTGCATTGCACAGGGAACTATATTCAATACCCTGTGATAAAACGTAATGGGAAAGAATATGAAAAGGAATATATATGTATAACTGAGTCGCTTTGCTGTACAGCAGAAACTAATACAGCATTGTAAACCAACTATGCTTCAATCAAATAAATTTTTTTTAAAAAGTAAGTGAGGTAAAGGAGAGCAGAAGGAATGGACAGCCCCTTCCAAGTCATCCTGGCAAAAACACAGGTTCCTCACGTGATGAGGATGGACTCGTTGTCTCGATCTGGAAATGCAGGAGGAAGCAGGACGGAGTAAATAAACAACATACAGGCAGGATATCCAAATCAGGCAACGTTGGGGGTAGATGGAGCCCATGAGTTCTAGTTCTGGCTTTGCCATGAACTAGTGGTGTGATGATTTGGTCATGTCTAGTCTTCTCTGAGACAATGTGTGCAGATTTCCCAAATGCTGGATGTGTAACGTGGGCAGCATGGGAAGTGAACGGTGAGTCCCACAGTGTGAAAGTTATTCATGTTCACAGATCTTTACCTCCTGTCTAGCACTTTCTTATCTCCCTTTACAACAAAGAAAGCAAGTCTCAGACTTAGAATGTGTAAGAAGCCACAGCTTCTAATTAGAATTTCTGGACACTGGTTTGTTGTCATTGCATTTTTCTTTCACCTTTACTTTCTACTTGTGGATAGTGACTGTGGTTTTCCATTTACAAGAGTGTTATAGGTTGAATTGTGTCCCCCGCAACAAATTAATACGTTGAGGCCCTAACTAACCCCCAGTACCTCAAAATGGGACCTTATTTGGAAATAGGGTCATTGCAGATGTAATTAGTTAAGATGAGGTCATACTGGGGTAGGTGGGCCCCTAGTCCAATATGACTGGTGTCCTTATAAAAAGACAAATTTGGAGACAGATGAGAACACAATGTGAAAATGAAAGTGCAGATCAAGATGATGATTCTATACGCCAAGGGATGCCAAAGCTGGCCAGCAAACCGTTGGAAGCTGGGAGCGTGGCCTGGAGCACATTCTCCCTCTCGGCCCTCAGAAGGAACCAACCCTGCTGACACCTTGATCTCAGACTCCCAGGCTCCAGAGCTGTGACACAATGCATTTCTGTGGCTTAGGCCAGCCAGTGTGTAGTACTTGGTTACGGCAGTCCTAAGAAACTAATACTCATAGTGATATTATTCTTCCTTTTATAAAAAAAGTTTTCCTCCAGATCAAAGGGCAGATTTGTTCGGTTCCTATTTTATTTTTATTTTTGGCCACGCCGCGTGGCATGTGGGATCTTAGTTCCCTGACCAGGGATCGAATCCGTGTCCCCTGCAGTGGAAGCACAGAGTCTTAACCACTGGACCGCCAGGGAAGTCCCTATTCTTCCGTTCTGAAATGGACGGAACTTCAGTCGCTATAAGGAAAGATTGTAAATATGCAGAAATGGCCAGGATTGCGAACGTGAAATGGGAATGGCTGAAGTTTGGGCAACATTGTCCTGGTTGACTTTTAAGCATCTTCAGATCTCAGATGCTTGCTTCTACGTCTTCTCTCTGCACCAAGTCAAATCAGGTGAAAGTTGAACAGACTGAAGTGATGTTAGGCATGACAGGGTGACAGTATCACCACATCTCTGCTATTTCATCTGCTATTCTGGAAATTTAAGGAGGAGAAAGAGGGAGCCTGAGAAAACAGGTGAAGGGAAGTTGTTGTGCCCGTTTCTCCAACTTTGCATTCCTAAGTGACTACTAATATAGTCTCTCTTCCAAGTGTGTTCATGTTGGGGGTTTCTTTGGAGGTGGGGGCAGCGCATGTCCTTGTGCTCTACATCCACCCCCAGAGAAGCATGTACTTAGTGTGGCTTCAAGAACCGTGACTGGTAATGGAAGATGCTGCGCCCCTGGCTTTCCATCCTGACATCCTCTGAATCTCCTGAGGTCACTTTGGTCATTGCACCATTTGGATGACCAAAGCCTGTGAATTCAGGGCTCGAGTAATTAACTAAGAGCCAGTACAGTTAAAGGACTTGAATACCTCACTATTTTTTAAAATATGGATTAAAGAAATTACTCACCAGTCAGCATTCCACATTTCTGTAAATAGATGCATCACTCACTCACCAGTCAGCATGAACTGAAAGGCGTTGTCAGAGATGGAGAAGATGTGGGGCGGGGCCTCCTGGCGCTTTTTGCCTCGATAGGCAGCCACCACCTCGGGTTGTACACCGGCAGCCACATGTAGGGGTTGACGGTGACACAGAAGAGGCCCGAGTAGGTCTGAGAAAATCAGAAAATTCAACCTATGGATCTTGATTTTACTCAGAGAAGGGAATGGAATAAAGAGAGGTTGAAGGGTACTCACGTAGATCATCCAGGCTGCATAATGCTCTTTGAGGTTGTACAGCACTGCTGGCTCATGCAGGTGGGTCATCATGACCATGTCCTCGATCTTGTCAAATTTGGGAGGGTTCATGGGGAACACCTGTTCACTGTTCAGAGTGAGTGTCTGGATATTGAGAGGAAAATCACATGATGAGTGGGAGAGCCGATGTGGTGAGCTACCAGTGTGGTGAAAATGGTGAGATATTGTGCAGAGATTACCCCATTACTGTGGTTAACTTTATGGATCATTTCTTTGCCCAGAGATGATCCATAAATAACTGTTCCTGATAAATCTAAGTCTGGTCAAAGTGCATAACCAGTTCTGGTCTGATGCCCCCAAGTCAGCGTGCCATTCTGTGTGCCAGAAGTGGGTTACAGGTGTGCAAAGTTATAGAGCCCTTCAGCCTCACGGTGGCCAGGTGGAACTCAGCACGGCCAAGGCCACAGCAGCTTGCCTCTGTTTACCCCATTTGCTATGAGTGCTGCAATGAGATCAAGCTTGGAATATTGGAAAAAACTCTTCCAGTGTATTCTGTGCATCTCCACCTCAATAGCTCTGCTTATGTGGGTCCCTTTGTCTGGAATATATCTACATTGAAATTACATCTAGCAACCTTCAAAGCTGTTCTTAAGTGCCACCTCTTCCATGACCTGTTTCTGCTCTGCCCTGTCTTTTCAAGGCTTCCAGAATTCCTTGCACCGCTGCTCTAATAGTTAAAACATTTGGACTTGAAGCATGGTCCATGGCTGAACAGTATTTTGAGACTATTACCTAATTTTCCCCTCTCTGCTTTCCCTTTCCTTTAAGCATACAACTGGCACTCCATTACTCAGGAAAGGTAGAAAATAGGGCACAAAAGCGAGAGAGCCTGTAAGCCTTTCTAGCGTTTGTTTTCCAAAAGCCGGAGTCCTTAGAAGAGCTTTGAGGGTTTTACCAAAAAGATAAAAGGGGGGAGATTTGTTGATATAGGACCAAATCTCTCGAGGAAAGGAAGCCCTTCTGCCCCACTGCCCTAAACTAGAGAGAGAGAGAGAGAGAGAGAGAGACATCCGAAATAGCATAAGGGAGATGGAAAAATCTGTGTGTCCTGAAGATTCAGAAACTGGGGCTTGTTTCTTAGCACATCCTTCGGGGGGCAGTGACACCCCATGTGGTATTACTGAAAATGTGGCATGGCTCTGGGGAGGGGACTCCAATAGTAACTCCAGAAAATGTATTTCCGGCCCTGTGAAAAGAGGCTGACACCAGAGGTTAAGTTTAATAATAACAATCATCATCATCATCATCATCATCATCATCATCTGTCTCGTATGCTTGAATTTGTGAACTGCGATTCATACCTACCATGTACTCTTTTTTAAAAAAGTTATTTATTTATTTTTGGCTGCGTTGGGTCTTCCTTGCTGCACACGGGCTTTTCTCTAGTTGTGGTGAGCGGGGGCTACTCTTCGTTGCGGTGCGCGGTCTTCTCATTGTCATGGCTTATCTTGTTGCAGAGCACAGGTTCTAGAGCGTAGGCTCAGTAGTTGTGGCACACGGGCTTAGTTGCTCTGCGGCATGTGGGATCTTCTGGGACTAGGGATTGACCCCATGTCCCCTGCATCGGCAGGCAGATTCTTAACCTCTGTGCCACCAGGGAAGTCCCCATATGCACCATGTACTCTTGATTCCTACACTAGATGATAAACTTTGGGGAAGCAGGACTGAGATTTGCTCATATCTGCAAAGTGATAGACACGGTGACCTAGACATGATGGGTGTCCAGTAAGTATTGAATTGAATGGTGCTCTGTAATTCTCTGCATTAAATTAGGCATTGCCTCCGGAGCTCCCTCTGTAAGTCACTCTGCAGCCTAGAGAGTTCTATTTCGTATATTCGCCCATCCAGCAGCAATCTGTATCAATCTCTCCCTTAAGCAGTCAAAACTCTTCCACCACCACCTTCCCCTTTCTCCAAAGCAAACATCATAAAAACTCTCAAAGCCCAAGTCCTCGAAGGAAAGAGTCAGAGCAAAGGTATGTGCCATGGCAGTTTTTACCTGCGACTTCACTCAGAGGAGATCAATGTGAGTCTTGTTTTATCTTCAGATTCCTGTGGACCAGCATGCAATTTCTACTCTTCTACTCCAAAGGAAAAGGAGGATGCCCATGTTAGCAAGGACATCTGAGATCAACACTTACCCGTCGTCGAGGGTCTTGACTGTGACTTTGTCATTTTCCTTGTTCTGGATCATGCCTTTCACATAAAATTCCTTATCATCCACTGCAAAGCAAGCTTTCTTAGAATCAAATGGGCGATTTTAAGCCTCGATTCTCCCCTCTGATTTCCGCGGGTAGGGAGCTCCTTCTCCAAAAATGGCCATCTCCGCATCAGAGCTCATGACTGCAGGGGCTGGGAAGACCAGGGCTGTTGAGTCTGGAGCTCTGGGGAGCTCCATCCTATTATTTCCATTCAGACAGGGGGCCAGATTCAAAAGTTCCTGGGATTAACCTACGTTCTGAGGAATCCAGGACCTGGTATAGGGGCCTAGAGTGGGCAAGTGGGGGTGAGCTAAAGGGGATATTTTACTCCAAGAAAAAAGTTTGAGGGGACATCCCTTAGTCCAGCTCCAGGTGTGGAATTCTAAACCAATTAGAAGAAGCCAAGCTGAGCCTAATAAAGGAGGCCTCAGAAAATATTTCCTTAATCACACATCACATTTGAGCCTCATGATCTCGGTGTCATTCCCAAATCTTAAGGGTGTCTGAAAAGAATTATTGGAATGTTGATAATTCCTAGTAGAAAGTTCAGATAGCCCAGTGAAAAGTAATGACTTGAACATAAAGTACTGCCACACTTGTTTAGCCAATTACAGGCAACAAGGTGATAGGAGACATTCTGGCCTAGTGCAATGGTTCCAAACTTTAATATGCACCAGAATTACCTGGAGAGCTTGTTTCAACACAGATTTCTGGACCTCACCCCCAGAGCTTCTGATTCAGTAGGTATGGGATGTTGCCTGAGAATATGCATTTCTAGCAAGTTCCTAGGCAATGGAACTTGTGTGTGGTCCTTGTGGTCCTTGAACATGTTGCATCAGCATCACCGAGGAGCTGTTAGACATTCAGAATCTCAGAACCACCCCGCATTACAAAACCAGAATCTGCACTTGAGCAAGATCTCCAGGTGATTTCTAGGCATCATACAGCTGAGAAGTAAGGCAGGGGTCTCCAAACTTTAGTTATGTGTAGCAGTGTCGGGGTGTGACAAACAGTGTTTAATTAAATACCTGCTTTAGAACTCACTGCTTAGCGTGTGTGTGTGAGTGTGTGTGTGTGTATGCATGTGCGTGTATGGTGTGTTTATGTATCTTTCTGCCTCTCTCTCTCTCTGTCCACCCTCCCGCTCATCCCTCCCGTCACTTCTTTCCAAACCATCCCCTTTCACAGACCTTCTCTTTTATGTGTTTTCCTTGCTTAGAAGCTAGAAATTTTGGCTTAAAGTCCCGGCACTGAACTTGGTCAAACCACTTACCTTCTTTGGGCCAGTAATTTCACTTAAAATGAAGAAAGCAAGCCTCGCTTACTTCTAAGGCCCCTGCAGGTTGTGTGACTTTTCTGGTTCCTTTTCCTCATCTGCATTTGCTTTTCCTGTTCCCTCTGGGCCTCTTCCCGCATCCTTCCTGACCCTCTACTTCTTTCCCCCACAGCTCTCCCCCTTGTCCCTTTCTTTCTCTGCTTTTTCTTTTACATACATTCTTCTGTAAGTGACCGTAAAATGGAGTTCAACTACACACGTGTATCCCCGTGTCTCTCTTGAGAAATAGTTCGTATGCTTTGAATAAGGCCTTTTATGTTTCCTATTAAAAGTGGGAAAATGGAACATTTTATAGTTGTCTCTTGGAACTTCCCCCACCCCCAGTCTTACACTTTATGAAATTACTCTTCATTGGTAACTGACTGTTGTTTCAATATCCCTCCTTGAGATTCTGGGGGGATCTAGTCCTACAGAAAGAGGGGCAGCTGCTTCCCTCTGGATCTTATTCAGGATAAGCTGCATTTCGATCTTACTTTGGCCAGCGGCTCTGCTGAAACATCTGCGTGCTCGTGG